TTGGTGTCATGGTGACAGTTAAGTATCTGACTCTATTAATACATTTTTTTGTAATTAATTTTACTCACTGAAAATGGAAGATTATTCCTTTGAAGAAATGTCAAGCATGCATTTGATGTATGGGTTGGCATACTGCAATAGGGCTGAAGCAAGACGACTTTACGCAGAGCATTTTCCACACCGACGTTTACCCAATGAAAAAACCTTTGAAAGGCTACATAATAGGCTAAGGGAAACAGGATCTTTCAAACCGCGAGCCCGAGATCGCGGTAGACCACGAACTGCAAGAACATTGCGCTTGGAAGAACGTGTGTTGCATCGTGTTGAGGAAGAAGCAGGTGACAGTACTCGAAGAATTGCATTAAGAGAAGGAGTTGATCATACGACCGTGTGGCGGGTTTTAAAGACCAATCAACTTTATCCGTATCACCTACAACGGGTACAAGGACTGAGTGAACTTGACTTCCCAGCACGAGAAGCCTTTTGTGTTTGGCTATTGGAAACTTGTGCCAACGACCCTCTCTTTTTGCCTTCCTTATTATTCACAGATGAAGCTGGCTTCACAAGAGATGGTATCTTCAATTTTCATAATGTACATCTATGGCATGAAGAAAATCCGCATGCCATTATTCAATCCAGACATCAACATCAATTTTCAATTAATGTTTGGGCAGGCATCATTGGTGATTTCTTGATAGGCCCTTTTGTTCTTCCCGGACGACTTAATGGCCAAAATTATCGTAATTTCTTAGAAAATGATCTACCAAACATGTTGGAGGATGTTCCACTGAATTTTAGAGCACGCATATGGTTCATGCATGATGGGGCGCCGGCCCATTTCAGTCTCATAGCACGTGAATTTTTAAACGAAGCATATCCTGGAAGGTGGATTGGCCGGGCAGGACCTATAGCGTGGCCTGCACGTTCCCCGGATCTAAATCCCCTTGATTTCTTCGTATGGGGTCATCTAAAATCAATGGTGTATTCTACTCCAGTTCAGGATATCGAGGATCTTCGGCAGATAGTAGAAAACGGATGCCAGAGAATTCGGAACAGACCAGGAATATTAGAGCGAGTGAGGCAGTCCATGACAAGACGAGCTCAACAATGCATTGGTGTTCATGGAGGTCATTTTGAACATCTCCTTTAAGTTCATTTACGTTGTTGTAGTTTTCATTATTTGTTACTCATTTAAAATAAATAAAAAAACGTTATTTATCAGACCAAGATCAAAGTGCCCATAACTCAGAAACGAATCATTTTAGAGCAGATGTGTATATAAACTTTTTTGATCGCCTTGATGAGTACAATATGGCTATGAATAGCCAGCCCACCTTTTTTGTTACACCCTGTATATTGTCGTGACTGCCAGACATTGCAGTAACGACTTCTTTGTTTCACATCTAACTTGTTTTTGTCATGATTACGTTGTTCGAAAAACATAATGTTTTATGATAACAATTCTGTGTATGTTTAGCCTTCATTGTCTCACGCTCAGGGGCGTAAATTTCTCTAAGATAAAATTGTTACAATTATTAATAAAGATTGCTCATTATTTATTATATGTTAAAATGTATATACATTGTCGTGACTGCCCAGATATTGCAATAACGACTTCTTTGTTTCACATTTAACTTGTTTTATCATGCTTACGTTGTTCTTTGATTTCTTGTGCTCACTTTATGTCATACGTATGTAAGAGCTTTGTTGAATTTACTAACATTTTCACCCATGATTATTATTATTGTTATTATTGTTGTTGTTCTCCCGAAATCTCAACTTTAGCTGGATAGCCTCCCGTATTATGGGACTCCAGTACCTTACCTATTATTATTATTATTGTTGTTGTTCCCCTGAAATCTCAACTATAGCTGGATTGCCTCCCGTATGGGACTCCAGTACCTTCCCTATTATTATTGCTATTATTATTATTATTGTTGTTGTTGTTGCTATTATTGTTACTAAAACCTCTTCAGTTTTACTTGGAAGTGTGTATGTCAGACTTGAGTGAGATGACATTTAGTGAGAAATTAAATAAGTCCAGTTTTAATTATCATTAGCAAAGGTTCTTAATGTATGCCTTTGGTTAGCGGTTGTTTTGTATTTATATTTGGGTGGTAAGAGCAACGATCGTGGGTTTCTCTGCCATGCTCTTTCCCCGCAGGAGCTCTAGGTGAGCCTGGCACTCTCATTTTATGTTAAATGGTTGTTAATGTTTTTGTTGTTCTTTCTATTTGTCACATGTTTAATTTGAATTGTATGTAAATAAAGGTTAGGTGTATTTACTCTGCTTTTGTTTTATATAATTAAACCATACATCCCCTCTACAAAGTTAGTAGCCAGCGCCTTCCGGTCAATTAAAAATAGATACACACAACGTAGGTATTCCTTATGACGATCACATGTTTTGGCCACAACTACGTTTATTTTTTTATCAAACCTGGGGTTGTTATACTACAGTGTTTATATCATTTTTAGTGAAACAATAATTAAACATTATAGAACCTATTCGCACTTTCTTAGAATTTCTGGATTATGTGAAACTTCTTTTGCAAATTATTGTAAATTTATGCAAACACTGTTCTTAAATATAGTTACAGTTTTTAATTCCTTATTTCTAAAGCTTTCTTTTAATATGAAACTTTCTGTATTCCGTCAAGTTTTTTGAATTCGCTTTAACGCTACCTCACCTTAACATCTTACTAACTAATACTTTTACAACTATTTTACGTAACTACAGAAGTTCTATTAACTAATTCTTAACAAATCTTACTCTAGGTTTCCAAATTCTTTTCTTTTTATTGAAATATTTCAGAATTTTTGGATGTCACCGTCATTAAATTGTATGTTTTTTTTAAATTTACTCTTCGACTAAATAAATAATATATTCCTCACTGAAATAATGTAGTGAAAAAACATTTTAATCTTTTTAACATAGAAACTTTGATTGTAATATGCTGTTAGAACATTTTTTAAAATTCCCTTGGCCTTGTCTAAGTGATGTGATTTTTGTCTAAATCTTTGTGAAAATTAGATTCATCTCTGTCCTCTGAGTTGTGGAATAGAGTTTGTGTGATGTTTTTCACTTCTCAACAAAGATATGTAAATTATATTCTATTTATAAACATAATTTATATTCACCGCTAATTTGCAAATATTTTATTTTTTTATTCTAAATAAACTTTCTCTTTATATTTTTGCGTCTACATTTATTATTTTTAACTTTTCGAAGTTTATGCATGTATTTTTTTTTAATTTTTCTATTTGAATATTATATTATGTCATTTTGGATTCGGTTTTGACATTTCTAATTTTATAAATGTATAAATAACAGAACATCAAAAATCAAGTATTAATTTATGGTAGTGTTCAGTGTTTAGTATAGTGTGCAACAATAATTTTTTATATATGCTATTTAGTTTAATTTATTTAGTTAAGTTAATTTAGAATAATAGCACAAAATTAATAGCAAATGACTAGAATTTTCTATAACTTTCAGTTAGATATATTTTACCCTTAAACAGTGTTTATATTTCCATTCAACTTCGATGTTTAAATCATGTCTTTTAAACAAATTTAAAAAAAAACATATTGCCGATCATAAAATTGTATTAATGATTAATATATTCAGCATCAGCATAACAATAAATAAATAAATTAAATAATTTTAATTTCCAGTCTCTTTCATTACCATCTGAAAGTTCCTCCTACATGCCAAGTAGGCTTAGCTCTATTAGGTCCTTCAACAACTTTCGACCAATTTGCTTCAAAATCATGGTCCTCTCCNCCTTAAACAGTGTTTATATTTCCATTCAACTTCGATGTTTAAATCATGTCTTTTAAACAAATTTAAAAAAAAACATATTGCCGATCATAAAATTGTATTAATGATTAATATATTCAGCATCAGCATAACAATAAATAAATAAATTAAATAATTTTAATTTCCAGTCTCTTTCATTACCATCTGAAAGTTCCTCCTACATGCCAAGTAGGCTTAGCTCTATTAGGTCCTTCAACAACTTTCGACCAATTTGCTTCAAAATCATGGTCCTCTCCGTGACGTTTAAGATTTATATCAGCTCGAGTATTACCATCATCGCCACGTCCCAAATTAGGCTCCAACTGCCATGGTTTATCTTCTTCTTCACTAGATTCGTCTTCCTCGGCAGATCTTTTGATTCTTAAGGCGGTTTTACTGTCGTCATATTCAGTATAAGGATCCAACTTCCAAAAGGTCTCATCAACGTTGTCTCTATTTGCATTTGGAGTATCATCTTCAACGGATCTTCTCCATCTGTATGTACCTCCTACGTGCCAGGTGGGTTTCGCCTTATTGGGGCCTCTAACAACTTTAGACCAACCTCCCTCAAAATCGTGATTGTCACCGTGACGTTGGATGTTGACGTCAGTTTTGGTATTTCCTTGCTTATCACGAGAGATGTGAGGNTTCTCCATCTGTATGTACCTCCTACGTGCCAGGTGGGTTTCGCCTTATTGGGGCCTCTAACAACTTTAGACCAACCTCCCTCAAAATCGTGATTGTCACCGTGACGTTGGATGTTGACGTCAGTTTTGGTATTTCCTTGCTTATCACGAGAGATGTGAGGTTCGAGTTGCCAAGGTTGATCCTTATTGTTGACATTGGGTGCACCAGGTTGAAGGGATCTTCTCCACCGGTACGTACCTCCTACGTGCCAGGTAGGTTTCGCCTTACTGGGACCTCTAACAACTTTAGACCAACCTCCCTCAAAATCGTGATTGTCACCGTGATGTTGGATGTTGACGTCAGTTTTGGTATTTCCTTGCTTATCACGAGAGATGTGAGGGTCGAGTTGCCAAGGTTGATTATTATTGTTCACATTGGGTGCACCAGGTTGAAGGGATCTTCTCCACCTGTACGTACCTCCTACGTGCCAGGTAGGTTTCGCTTTATTGGGACCTCTAACAACTTTAGACCAACCTCCCTTAAAATCGTGATTGTCACCGTGACGTTGGATGTTGATGTCAGTTCTAGTATTTCCTTGCTTATCACGCGAGATATGAGGGTCGAGTTGCCAAGGTTGATCCTTATTGTTGACATTGGGTGCACCAGGTTGGAGGGATCTTCTCCATCTCTCCTCTGCTTCTAGTCCAGACACCAAAAGAGAGGCAAATAATATTAATGATATCTTAGTAATCATCTGAAAAAAAAAAATGTATTATAAAAAATATCCTATCTATTTATAAGTGCGTAGTGCGTACATATGAGAATAAATATATTTTTAACGTACCTTTCTAACACTAGTAATGTATTAGTGAGTTACACTTCTAAGCGTCAAATTGAGACTGATTATTCCCTAACAAGTAATGTCTTTTATACTGTTAAACACAGTACTTTACTGTGTCCCTGTTTGGTATTTTACATTTTACGTTTATAATCAAAAGACTGGATAAGATTGTATGAGTCGTTGGGTTCTATACAAAGCATTAACCGCGAGATAAAGAACGGGGATTTCTTTATCATACATAGCGTGCCGAATCAAAGTTATTTTCAAACAAAGTTCCAAATATAGTACTGAATATTCCCTTATTACGTTGTTTATGTATTTGTCAACTACTTGTAATTTTTATGAGTTTCTAACTTAATTGCAATTCTCAAAAGTGTAATAATTTAAACTTCTTTACAGTCTAAACAAAGAAAAATAACATTTAAGATGGATATTCTTAATGCAGAATGTATGACAAATATATTGTCTGCAATTATTTATTTCTGTATTATCATTAATATTTCTTTTCCACAGGTGACAAAATACTCAAGTAAATGAAGAAGAAAAGAGCATGTTTATTAAAAATTTCAGTTAAACAACAAAAATGAACCGCATAAACAGTGTTAATTTATATTAAAGTTTAAATATTTTAATAATAAAGTTTCTGGTTTTATACTTTTGCAGTTATCATTTAATCGTCTATATTTTGATCGGATTACGAGATGTAATTTTAAAAAATATGTACTTTTCGAGTAATAATTCATTGGTGAAGATTATCACTAATAAAATTATCACTAAAGTTAAAACTATATTTGTATCAATTAGTAGGTAATATCAGTAGTATCTTAATTAATTACTAATCGCCTTATCAGGTGGATCCGTATCAATCTCGGACCCATTATATTTCTCCATTGATATTTCCGTCTCAGAGTCTTTTGCTGATATTCCCTAAAAATATGAAAAATTAAGTAAAAAAAATAAAAATAATAATTCAAAAATATTTTAAAACTATATTTTACTGGAAACTTTTGACTTAAATCTCAAGTTTTTCAGTTTATCACATAAGAATATATGAAGATAAATAAGAGAAAATATTGCATTTAGGTATATGTGCATTGCATAAAATGTCTTACGTTAGTTTGCAGCTGTCCATATGTATAAAAGTCGTCCTTTGGTAGTCGTGGTTTTATCAACTTTCTAATAAAGGGTGCCAACAGTTGGGGGTCGACATCACGGGGATCTAGTGGCCTAGTAATGAAGGTAACCAGTAGTCCAACAAACATAGTAACGAATGTCCCTATCAGTGTATACCATAAGTAGGACAGCCTGTATATCATATACCACTCACTGAAATAAAAAAGATTAAATTAAATTGTTAATAAATTTTAAAATTCATCAGTAAAATGATCTAAAATATTAGAGGAAGAGATTAATTAGGTAATTCTAAAATAACAAATAATGACAAAGAGCGGTGGGGCAGAACTTCCCAATTCAAATCCCAAATGGATGTTTTAGTCATATTGGCGATATGTGGTCGTGTATTGTCATGTTTCAAAAGAATGTCGTATCGCCGATCAGGTTGTTTCGTTAAATAGTCGCGTGGAGATGACGTTGAACATAGAGTTCCACATTGACAGTGTGATTGTTTGTTAAGAGTTCGTAATCAATAATTCCTTTCTAATCCCAACAGAACATAACATTGTCTTTCGAGGATGAAGTTCTGGTCTTTTTCGCGGAGTTGCTTGTTTTTTTGGGTTTTCCGCTATTTCAAGTTCACGTACAGACACCATTTTTCATCACCAGTGACAATACAATGAAGAAAACGTTCCTTATGACCACGTGTTGATAGATGACGACAGAGGAAACCAACGGCAATTGTGGAGAGTTGATGCTTATTCTTTTCGTTCAAAACGTGTGGAACCCAAGCGCAGAATTTTTGAACTTTCCCCATCGAGTAAAGGTGATTTACTACTGTTTTGTGATCACATTCCATCTTTCGAGCAGCTTGAGCGGCTTTAGCGTTTTCATCGACTCTACTAGAAACAAAAAAAAGCAGGTGCCGAAAATGATCAATTTTATCAACTTGATATTTCATTCCATATGAACGAAAATTCACAAAAATTAAATCTAACCAAGCAACCAAATAGCACAGTCTTATAAAACAATAATTTCTCTTTCAAATGACATGTGTGACAATGCGGTTAATTTTCATGTGAATTTTTAAATTTGGAAAAAAACGGGCGTCACTTATTCCCCAATCCATTATATTTCAACGAGATTATTTTTCTATCTTAAATGTATCATTGTCTGCACAAAGTGCATCCAGTAACCAGGGACATGCATGTGGGAAGTGATTTTCACATATTTTTCAGTAATACTCCATCACTGGTTTTTTCAACAGTATGTATTTTTTGCATAGTTTCTTTAGTATTGGCCAAAACATGCCTCATATAATTTTTGAGAATAAAATAATAATTTTATTAATAATACATGAAAAGAAGTTCCTCTTTTGTAAGGTAAACAGGATATTGATATACAAATAATGTCAGAAAAATTCTACTTATTACAATTTTGGCCCAAGCATCTATGGCACCTTTTCGATAATTCAAGATTAACGAAATCACATAATTTTTTAATTAACATAAAGAATTGCAAATAAAAAGGTTATATACATTTTTTACATAATAGAAGCAAGAATTATTTTTTTTGTAGATGCAGTTTGTTAAATTAAAAAAAAAATCTGAAAGATTAAACACTACTTAATATTTTAAATATTATCATACATTACATTAATATTATAAAACAAAAAACAATTTTCAGCAAATATTTTTGTGTATACACCCAAAATAATAACTATATAGCATAATAAGTAAATAAACACAAAATAACTGATTATCTAAAAATCATAGTTGGAAATTTTTATTTCATTTTAAGTTTTGTTTTTATTGAAATTTATATGAGAAAAATATTAATTTTGATAAACCCGCTAGTACGTCTAGGCATACTGATGTCGGGGTGAAAATAAAACGATATTAAATTAGGTATATTGTAAGAATGGTGGAGAAATTTTGCAGAACTATAATGCAAGAGCCATCTCGGAAATATCCGAGAAATATCTCGGAAAACAATCAGGGATAAACAGATTACAAATTTAAAAATGATGTGTCAAACAAGAAAACTGTGTATGGATTAATTTATTAAAAATTCTAGAAATTTAGAAATAGCATTTATTTGATTAAATTATGATATACCTGTATTTCACCTACATTTTTAATATCAGTTTTATCATTGACACTATTTTTCTTTTTTGTAATATGATACATTTCTTATATTTTGAATTAGTCTTTTGTAGTAATTTGTTTTTTTAACTAGAATATTAATTTGATCAAAATTAAAGGAATGTTTTTTATCTTTCATACGTTTATTAAGAGCTGTAGAGAAATTTTTTGTGTATTTGTGGCCCTTTAATATCTTTTATAAATTTATATATTGACTATTGCAATTATTACACGGAAGAGAGTATACACATGTGAATTTTTTAAAACAGGAATCAATTTTTTTCTTTATTGGTTAAAAGATTTATGAGGGACAAATATATTATGTTTGGATAGGATGAATTTAATTTTTTCTGAGTAGTGTAGACAGAAAATGGAAGAAACATGGTAAATAGGAAAAAACTTTGAAAGCCATAATTTGTAGATAAGATTTGAATGTAGTGCTGTCAATATTGTCACAGCTGGGCACGTGAAGGTTACCCGGGAACGGAAATAGACTTTTATTACGAATACGGTAGTTACCAGATGAACCAACGTGTGTCCGGTATTACCCTACATTTTACAGAAGATGAGAAAATAAATCTACTTTTTTTACGGTAAAGATAAAAGAAAGTTCTCATTTTTTTAAATTCCATAAAGCATATTATTTATTATAAATCCAAAAAAAAGTAAAAAGTTTATTTTCTTAATTATTCACACTCTTTCAAATGAGGCCTATATGTATAACCCAACTCTCCTCTATACTATAAACCGCGTGAATCAGAGTAGTAAATACATATTATGAATCACGCACAGCAAATGTTTAAATCTAATTAATTTGTGTTGTCCCCATGTTTTAAAGTATTTCGTACACATAGTTAATAGTATGTTTCTGGACTCCAGGTTTCCTATATTATGGAAAAATGCGGTTGTGATTCCTATACCTAAAAATAATGATGATGAATAACGGAGAATCAAATTCGCAATTTCTTAGAAATGAATTATATTCTTCCATCGATTCAGTCTGGATTTCGACCAGGATACAGCTGTGCTACAGCACTAATGCATATCACTGACGACATTATTCAAGCTGTGGATGAAAGGAAAAATACTGCTATGGTATTACTAGATTTTAGTAAAGCCTTTGATACTATTAACTATCAAGTACTGTTATCTATTCTTGAATCATGTGGATTTCAAAATGAAGCCAATTCACTAATTCAATCATACTTGCAGGATCGCACACAGGTTGTAAGGTTATGGGACAAATTATCTAAACCTAGGCAAATTTCTTCTGGTGTTCCGCAGGGTTCCATTTTAGGGCCTGTTTTATTTAGTATTTATACCAGCCAGTTTGTTAAATTTATCAAGTACTGTTCTATTCACATGTATGCTGATGATATTCAACTGTATTATTCATTTAATTCCTCGGATTATGAATCTGCCAGTGTCAAAATTAATACTGACCTACAAAGGATTTACGATACTTCTAAAAATCACCAGTTGGTTTTGAATCCCACTAAATCTNATTATTATTTTTAAAAATTTTTACAGAATATTAGTAAAGCCAAGGTGATAGTGCAGTGTACGAAATATCTATTCTTATTAAACTGCCTCTACGTCGGCACCTGTGAATGAAAGGTTGTGGATAAGCTTCACTCAAACGAAATTATGGACTAAAAAAGTATTTTTTGTCCATGGAGTGCAAAAATATGTGCCAGGTTCGTATTAATTTTTATTTTCTTACGAAACTATTAAGGTATTGTTTGAAGTCATCTTGCGCCAAAAGCATCAATTTTATTAACCAAAACTAATTTTAAAATGAAACGTCATTATCCGCTCTGAAAATGAAAATAGGTCAGCTTGTGTATTTTTTATTTGTCTGTTGTTTTCAGTGTGAAATTGTTGTTAGGCTGAACTATTTCCATAAAAATAACTATTGTTCCTTCTCTTTCAAAGTTTATATCATTATTTTTTTTCGCTTGTGGTAAAATACCAAAATAAATAAAAGAAATATTACTGTTTTGCTTCAGAGAAATAAAAATACTTACTCCGTATGAGTCACATTCGTGATGTTTACAGATGGGTCGAAATGGATGTTACTGCTGGGGGATTGCTTTGGCGTAAAATGGTAATGACACCCTTCAGTGGAAACTGGCTTCTCGGGAAAGGTCAGGTCTCCTGAAGCAATAAGGGTTTGTGCTCGAAGACAAAGCCAGGACATGAATATTAAAGATGTTATGCCACCAGTTAAGGCTCCCTATAATGTGAAAAAATTAATTTAAAAAAATATTTGGAAGCGATTTAATGTTCATGTTAGGATGTGTATCAGGTAAATTTGATGAGGGTCAGAATCATAACAATTCTGATCCCTTACGAATCATCGTACCAAATTGAAGATGTTCTTTTGATAACATATTTTTTTAATACTCCAAACCATTTGAGGTAACAGTGCCAAGTTTGGTACATGTTTCTGGCATTTGCTGACATGTTTATACAAATCTTGAAAATGAAAAATTTAATTTAAAAAAATATTTGGAAGCGATTTAATGTTCATGTTAGGATGTGTATCAGGTAAATTAGATGAGAGTTAGAATCATAACAGTTTTGATCCCTTACCAAATTGAAGATGTTCTTTTGATAATTTTTTTGTTAATACTGCAAATCATTTGAGGTATCAGTGCCAAGTTTGGTACATGTTTCTGGCATTTGATGACATGTTTATACAAATCTTGAAAATGTATGAATGTGGATAATATGAGGATTAAATAAATAATAATAAAGAAATATTTTTTTGAATTACTTTCACCCTTCCATGATCATCATGATCAAAACTATTCCGAGTGACAAAAAAAAAGGTCAAACTTTCAGGAATTTAATACATAAATTTTTCCTCACTTTTCTTGATTTGTCCTGTTTTTTCTGATCATGTAAATATGGGTCATATTTAGCCAAAAATACCAAAGTACCAAAACACAAGTAAGTACTCAACTACGTAGATTAGAAGATATTAATTTAAAAACACACCATCAGGACTTTTACAACGTGCTTATATCTTCGAAATGAGTCAGAGTTGATACTTTTCAATTAATCTTGACCCAGTTGTTAATCTAATTAAAGCAACCTTGTGTAAAAGTAGGTCATGAGAAACCCTTGGAATTATTATTTTTTAAAACTTCTGGAAGAGACAAAATATGACCTATAAATCAATAAATTGCATTGTTATGAGAAATATACTAAACAAAAAACACTTTTCATAATTTTGAGTAATATTTGCATATCTTAAATCCTTTATAATTTAATTTTCAAATATATTTTATATTGTATTGAAGCTAGAAACATCTTTTATTTAGAAAAAGTGTTTCTATTAAATCAATAGAGTCTATATGAAATTATTTTGTAAAACAAAATTAATATCTACATTGAACTATCTAGATATTACTTTGAATTGAATATCGAAGGATATACTCCGAAAATATATACATGATTATTGGGAAAATAAGCAAACATAAAATGAGTATCATCATTTGAGTGAAAATTTTAAATTACTGTTATGTTTCAATGTTTCACCGTGTACTTCCCAATGAACATTTTGTATCGATTATTTAATTCATTGCCTTGTAACTAATCTAATGTTGTTTCGATTAACTTTTGACTAATCACGTCACTATTAATACCAACAAATCACTGTTTATTGTATACTGAAATTTTATCGTTTTATATAAGGTTTTATCATCGAAATTTACATTTTTACTTTTAATTTGTTTTGTAGAAAGAAATGAAAAGTAAAAAATAGTTTGAAAACAAGCTTTTTTTAAAACGTACTAAAAAGAAAAAAATAAATAAGGGGTTCATAAAACCCATAATGTTGTGTAAACCTCAGATCCACAAAAGAGTTGAATATGGCTGCTTTATAAAAGTGTCATCAGCAAAAGTATGATAAATAGAAACGTAGTATCTATAATAATCAGTATGTTCATGTAGCTATGCTGTATGCTGTTTAAATTTTTTTTACAAATTATGGTACGCCACTTAAAAAAAAACAATATTTTCTTTTTATCACTTTTAAAATGCAAATTATTATGATCGAAAATGATCTCTTCACNATTTAGAAAAACTGTTTCTATTAAATCAATAGTGTCTATATGAAATTATTTTGTAAAACAAAATTAATATCTACATTGAACTATCTAGATATTACTTTGAATTGAATATCGAACGTTATACTCCGAAAATATATACATGATTAGTGGGAAAATAGGCAAACATAAAATGAGTATCATCATTTGAGTGAAAATTTTAAATTACTGTTATGTTTCAATGATATTTCACCGTGTACTTTCCCTGAATGAACATTTTGTATCGATTATTTAATTCATTGCCTTGTAACTAATCTAATGTTGTTTCGATTAACTTTTGACTAATCACGTCACTATTAATACCAACAAATCACTGTTTATTGTATACTGAAATTTTATCGTTTTATATAAGGTTTTATCATCGAAATTTACATTTTTACTTTTAATTTGTTTTGTAGAAAGAAATGAAAAGTAAAAAATAGTTTGAAAACAAGCTTTTTTTAAAACGTACTAAATAGAAAAAAATAAATAAGTAGTTAATAAAACCCATAATGTTGTGTAAACTTCAGATCCACAAAAGAGTTGAATATGGCTGCTTTATAGAAGTGTCATCAGCAAAAGTATGATAAATAGAAACGTAGTATCTATAATAATCAGTATGTTCATGTAGCTATGCTGTATGCTGTTTAAATTTTTTTTACAAATTATGGTACGCCACTTAAAAAAAAACAATATTTTCTTTTTATCACTTTTAAAATGCAAATTATTATGATCGAAAATGATCTCTTCACGTTTTTGCTATTTTAGTACAAATTAGAAAATCTACACCGCTGATTTGAGCTGACTTAATTTCTTTATACAAGGATGGCCAGAAGTACGGAATAAAATTCATATCTTTTGAATGAGTTACATTTTTTTTAAAACGCCGAAACACGTTAACTGATTTAGATTTTTTCCCATCTTTCGGTTATATAATAATTATTTTTTCTTCAACCCCCTAACCCCCAGCTACCCCTACTTTTTAACAAGTGAAATAAAATTTAATTATCTTCAGTGTTATCCTCCATGAATTTGCACAGCATGAAATAAAGAATTTG